ACTTAAGAATCTAGAAGAATGTCTAAACGTTCAGGAACTCACAACTGAATTTAGAACTAGCCTCAGTGATCTGTTATTCCAGCTGAAGCTGAAACCATGGATTCTCCTGAGTCAGCTAGAACCAGGAGAGAGTTGAGTCAAAGAGGACAAACAGCCAAGAAGGTAGGAAAGGGCAGAAAGTCTTCGCGAGCGCTTCAGTGGAAAACTAACTTCTTTCTTTGTCCAAGCCATAGTCGGACATATTCAAACTTATGAGAAAATAGAACTGCTGCTCAGGTCCAACAACCAGCTGTTATTAAATAATAACAGCTTCATTAAACCAAGCCTGCTGCTTTCAACATAGTAAGTCATTTTAGTCTAATTTTAATATGAGAATTTATATACTGATAGAGTTTGTATCTTGTATCCTGAAGGCTTGGTCCCTAGGCAATGGTGCTACTGTGAGGTGGTGTAATTTTGGAAAGAGTGGGGGCCGAATGGGAGTAGGTTAGGCCATCAAAGGTGCCCTTGAGGGGGATTTGGACCCCAGGTTCTTTCCTGTTTCTCTGCTTCTCAAATGACATGTGATACACACACACACACACACACACACACACACACGTCTACACACACAACCAACATGATATAACGCGTTGTCATAGGCCCAAAGCACAGGGTCACATGAATGTGGACTGAAACTGAGCCAAAACAAACTTCCTTCATACAAGTCGGCTGTCTTGGGATTTAGCTATAAAACAGAAAGCTAACACACACACACACACATACACACACACACACAGAGACGGAGAAAGAGAGAGAGAGAGAGAGAGAGAGAGAGAGAGAGAGAGAGAGAGCCGATAGCAACTGTATTAGTGTTTATATTTAGACAAACAAGCGAGAGATGTTGGAAACAACTGCAAGGCTTTCCTCAGATTCTTTGCACAGTTGGTTCATCTTTGTGCACGTACGCGCACGCATGTGTATGTGTGTTATGCATTCTTTTGAATTATAACATGAATTTAAAAAAATATCAGGAATAGGGGATGGAAGCCCTGGTGGTGCACACCTTTAATCCCAGAACTTGGGAGACAGAGGCAGACGGATCTCTGTGAGTTTAAGGCTACCAGGTTGACATAGTGGGACCCTGCCTCAAAAATAAAACCAAAAGGACATCAAAGATAAAGCAGTAAACACACACACACACACATACACACACACACACACACACACACACACACACCATGCAATGGACCTTCAAAATAAGAGTTCTGCTAATGTCTGCAACCAAGCAACAGGATTATTGAGATAAGCACACTATCACAGAAGCACTGAAACAGTCAAGCAAGGTAGGGAAGAGAGTCTGCTGCTGTGTGTGCAACAGAGGCATCTCCCAACACCAAGTTATTCTCTGCATCTCACAACAGTCTGTCATTCTGGAACTAACATGAAAGGCTTGTGAAACGCACAATCACTTTTTATCGATTTTATGCTTTCAAGCTGAGGTATGTATTTTCAATCTGAGAACCTAGTTTGTGGAATTTCTCAGTATGACTTTCTTACCAGCTTCTTAACTAGGAGTGTTCTGACTCTAAGCAGAAATGTAAACCAACCATATTTCTACCTAGAAATGCTAGGAAATAATGAATCAGAGAGTTGGGCCATTACAGAGTTTTCAAATATATTCTTGTGTTTAATCGCAACATATTAGAGGTTAAAGTATATGAACACCTGTAAGAGCACAATTCAACAACCATGTTCTGGGAATTAATGAATCATAGCAACACACACACACACACACATCCTGGGTAAAAGCCTATTTAGAGAAGTGAGCTGTGGAACATTTCTAGAAAATACTCTCAGACAGACTAATTAACCTGAACCCAGAAGACCAAAGCTTGAAATAAAGACCAAAGCCTAAAAGTAGTAGAACTGAGAATTGTAATAAAAGTGAAGCCCCACTGTGTGTCTTCCAGCTGCCGTTCAGGAGAGTCTCGTACACACTGTGTGCAGTAGGCTGAGAGGCCCATCACCATTGCTTCAGTAATCAATATATTGTGGAGTCTCTGCAAACACCAGGGCTGGCAGAGGAGCATTCTGCATGAGGCAGGAAGGAAATTTGATTCAACACGACTTAGTTACCAGTGTCAGTTCCAGATCCCGACTCTGGGCAGTTTATTTTTTATTTCAGTACAGTACAATTTTAGGGGAAAAAAAAAACTTTCCTGGTAACAGCTATCTCAGTTCCGTGTGCACAATAGAGCTAAGGCATGACCACACTGAACCTCTTTCGCAAATTACTAGTGACTTCTTCCATAAAAGAAGGGGTTCTATAGCTTAAGGGTCTAGGGGGTGGATCTGGTCCAGTGCTCAAGAGAGAGGTCTAGGGAGGAGGAGTCTGCGGGATTCAGGTGTGGCACGGATCACCAGGCTGTAACTACACCCACTCCCAGGCTTCTGGGTGGAAAACAGGTATCCGTCTCTATGGGGGAGACAACCCTGCGTGTTTAACATTCCAGGTTTCCTTAGTGCTTGTCTGTGAGCATGATGACCTTGTGCCCTCTGCTGGTGCAGCACAACACCAGAGACCTTTCTGGAGAGGCCTCAGCAACCCGGGCTGATAAAAATCCTTGTTCTTGGCAGGCATTTGGTGGTACATCCCTTTAATCCCAGCCCTCAGGAGGCAGAGGCAGGAGGATCTCTTGAGTTTGAGGGTCAGTGTGTATGTGGAGGTCAGAGGACCATGCTGGAGTTCTCTCTCCTCTCATCTTTTGCAGCAGTCTCTGCAGACTCCACTGCCAGCAGTGTGATGGCTCGAGGCAAGAAGACAATTTGTTTCAAGATGACTTAAGTAGTCTGTGTGTTTCAACCTCTGGAGTCGGACCCCAAGTAGTTTATTTTAGGCATATTTAAACACAGTGCAATTTGGTAAAACCTTTTCTCAATTAATTCAATCTCGTGTGCATAATAAAAGCATACATAAGTCTCTTTAAGGAACAAAGTAACCTAAATAAAGATTGGAATGACTACATTGAAACTCTATGAAAGTATGTGTGACACCTTCCATCAAGACAGGTCCTGCAGATTGACTGAGGAAAAGGAGCTTTGATCAGGGTGTGGGTGGAGAATCCAGTGTGATCTCTGCCACACAGATAGTGCAAAGGTCACTAGGCTAGGAAACACCTCTGCTCCCAGCCTTCTGGGTAGATAACAAATTATACACTGGGTAGTGGTAGCGCAAGCCTTTAATCCCAGCACTTGGGAGGCAGAGGCAGGTGGATCTCAGTGAATTCACAGGCAACCTGGCCTACAAAGAGAGTTCCAGGACAACCAGGACTGTTACACAGAGAAACCCTGTATCGGGGGGGGGGGGGGGACAACATAAAAATCAAAACAAAACAAAAAACAACAAACAAATTTTAAAAAGCAGGTTATGCATTCCTTCCCTTGAAGGAATGACCCCATGTGCCTTCAAGGTTATTGCTGTGCTTCTACCTTTAACAAAGGTCCCACTCAGGTGGAGACCAGAGAGTTCTGCTCTCTCAAGGTTATTGTCAACAGCTGTGGCTAATAATCAGCCCTTGAATTTCAGGAAGAGAAGTAGATGTGTTTCTACCTCAAAAGTCTAAGGATCCGACGAGGGGTCCAATTCCTTAATGAAGGATGTTCCAAATGAAGGAACTTTTGATTCCACCTAGGGAGTGGTTTGCCTACAGAATGTTTGGCCTAGAGTGTGCCCGTGACTTGTTTTGTTCTAGAAACCCTGTGTCGAAAAACAAAACAAAGCAAAAAACCAGAATGCTTAACCAGGAATGTAGCCCGCGACCTTCAATTGGTATGTCATTTCCTTGTATCATGTTAATGCAGTCTTTTGTCTTACTTCTACCTTTTGGGGTCAGAGGTATTTTAAGCAGGTGGAAATTAAATGCGGGTGAATTTCAGTACTCACCGGAATTCCCTCCTGATACTATCCTATACGTTTCTCCATTTTATTATTTTCATTCACGTCTTCATAGTCTTTACTATATTTCTAAATCCCCATGCCCTTACCCTGGCGAGAGGTATTTTTGTCGAGACTGGCCCCTGACAGTTATTACACAGAGAAACCCTGTCTGGAAAAGCAAAATCATCCTTCCTCTTGGGTGGGTTTTTACCTTCTACTGAGATGTGCCAAGTTATAAACAGTAAGTAGCACACATGACTTATGGAGCATGTCAGAAGTGACAGCTGCTAAGGATGAACAGATGATTCTAAGAGGGTCGGGCGCTGCGGTAGGTCTTATTGTAAACAGTATACTTGAACTAGGATTTGAAGACGAGACAAGATCATAAGCTCTGTTGCCATCTGGAGAGCAAGCTTTGGACAGAAAAGCTGACGCAGGAGCCCTTCATCAGAACATGCCTGGTGGGTGTAAGGAGGACAGGGGACCAAAGTGGAAATCCGGAATCTATGCGTGGATGGTTGATACCATTGTGTAAATGGCTGCATTTACACAATCACCGCAGATGCAATACAATGCTCTTAACCTCTGAACTCTTTCTCCAGCCCCTGGAATATTAATCAAATCTAAATTTTTCCCCTCCTTTTTAAAATACTTATCACTCTGAGCAACAACGATTAAACAACTTATTAAGCCTCATTTAGGTCTGAAAACGGGGCTCCAAAAAAGAATGAATATTTTTACATACAGAGCCATTAGTGAACATCTAGGCCTTTTTCACAATTTGGACAAAATGCGGGTCACTTAGCGTTGTTGTTGTTGCTAATCAAAGTACACAAACTCCCAGAATTCTGCCTGCCTCGGCTGTGGCTGGAGGCACGGGGTCAGCACGCCCTCTTAACCTTTGGCGCAAAGTGGGGTCTGCGGCTGCGCAAAAGCCAAAGCCCAACATGCACCGCGGCGGGGGCGGCCCTGGAGCCTGGTGAAGCTCAGTGTAGCCCAGGAGGAGCGCAGCCAGCCCGGGGGTCAGGTGTGTTCGGGAGGGCGCCGGAGACCCGTCTGTCTGTCTGTCCGGCTGTCCCTTCGGCTGTGCTGCTTCCTCGGGATCCCTCGGGCTGGGCGGCAAAGGGGGGAACCCGCCCTTCCTTCCCTGGGGAGGCCTGGTGGGAAAGGGCTGCCTCCTTGTGCTTGCTTCTCGGGCCTGCCCGAGCCCTGCGCATTTATGTTTTATCTCTTTGTCTTCCTTATCTAAAGAATAAGGAATAGGAGAGTCCGTGAGGATCCCGTGGGTCCCAAGAGCTGGGAAGGTGATTTGCCGGAAGTTAATGTGCAACCTTAAACGGAGTTAAATTGAAGAACATTCTCAATCTTGGGAAAAACAAAACAAAACAGGAGCAGCAAAAGCCCAGGCCTAGGGGACATTGAGTCTACTTTTTTATCTTGTGTGCATGGGAACTCTGCCTTCGTGTATGTGAGCACCACGTGCTGGGAATTAAAGCCCCCTCCATCCCTCTAGCCCCATGGGTCCAAGTTTCATTTTCAGAAAAGGAAGTAGGCCAACTCGAGGTTAGGTGATTCGGCCAAAGTTAAGTAGCTCCGGAGTGAATGGGTTCTTGTCTTGCCTGCTAGCCTACTTTTTCCCGTGGAAATACCAAGGAAATGTTGCTTTCCTAGCCCTAGTTTCTAATCCTCAACAGTGCCTCTTTGGGAAAGTACAGACCCCGATTCTCTTCCCGCTGTCGGTGCTCAAAATCACTTCCCATTTCCCATTTTGTCTTTTCAAAACTAAGAAAGGGGTGCGAAGGGTTAAACAATGTGGCTGTTACTGATATACACACATCAGTCAGAGCTCAGAATCTAACTACAAACATTACCGTGTTGTATGCACTGTGTGGGTGTGTTACCGATGAGGGGCCATTGGCCACATTGCATTGTGTGTGGTGGGGGCAGGGAGGTGAGTTTCCCTTCTTCACCGTGTATCAAGAGCTGGGTTAGGTACGCCCGAAAAAGTCTTTGCCCGCGGAGAGCTAGTTTGTCATTCATTCATTCATGCAATAAACGAGGGCATTCTGGAGCGGCTGGTTCTAACTCAGCAGGAGGAACTTGTTAATTACCAGAGCTGTTTTAGTAGGAGACGCTGTCTTGGGAGCTGCTAACTCACCGTCACCCAAAGTGACTTTCATTTGCATAAGTCGCTTTCTAAATTTTGCTTTGAACTACTTCCATATTAGGTAACACGCAGAAGGCAAATTTAGTCGACATATAGACATGTATGGTTTAGCTGTTGAAATAAAATACACCTCTAAGAAATCTTGTTGAGAAAATACACTAAGTGTTCAATCGAGGAAGGCAAATTCTGAACAAGGCTCATTTCGCTTGGAGGGTTTGTTTGTTTGTTTGTTTGTTTTGGAGTAGACAGGATTTTTAAGGAGCTTTGAAGGAGAAGCTGACCCTTGTTTATTATTCTAAAGATTTATTATTTGGAGGCTGGAGAGATGGCTCAGCAGTTAAGAGCACTGGCCACTTTCCCAATGAACCTTTGTTCAATCCCAAGCACCCACATGGCAGTTCACAACCATCTGTAACTCCAGTTCCAGGAGGTCTGACACCCTCTTCTGGCCTCTGCGGCCACTAGGCACACCTTTGGTACGTAATCATTCATACAGGCAAAATACCCATACACATAAAATAAAACAAGTCTTTTTAAAAGATCATTTTCCATTTTGCATATGGTGTGAGTCTGTGCAGGTGTGAGCTTGTGAAGGCTGGTGCCAAAGAGACCAGAGGCATCAGATCCTCTTAGAGACAAGTCATAATTGGTTTGTAGCTACTGCTGTGACTTTGGTGACTCAAACTCAGGTCCTCTACAAGACTGCTTTCAACTGTTGAGCCACCTCTTCAGTCCTGAGTAAGCTATCTTTAGAACATTCAGATTTACATAAGTTATAAATAATGCAGAGTATGCCCGATGTAGTGGTTTCAATGAGAATGGCGTGCTTGAATGTCTGAGACCTCAAAGCCTGCCCCTAGTGAGCACTTCCTCCAACAAAGCCGCAGGGTACTGTAACAAGGCCACACCTTGCTGTGAGCCTATAGGGACCCATTTTATTCAAACCACCACAGTTTGTTTTTCCACTCAAACTGTTCTGCTCACCTTTGCCCATTTCATTGGCCTCCTCTGCCGAAATGCCCGTCAGTGAGGTTTGTTTTTAAACCTGTCCTTACTTCTGGGCAATACAGAATCCTGGCTCCTCTTTCATATTTCCTGCCTATGTCCTGCAGTCAGCTATTTCTCCAAAGAACCTAGTTTCTTTTAATGGAGAATTCTATAACAACTAGTTTGGTTGCTAGATATGTATGTTTCAAAGAAGATGGAAATTCAGAATTTCTTATAAAAAGTTAAGGACTCCTATACACTGGTCCCCTCCCATCACAAACTGGCCTTTGTCCCGTGACCCTATGAGTATGGACTTAAGAACTGTTGCCAGAAAATACTAATGCCAAAGATGTTCTGGTGTTAATACTGTGGGGAAAAAAAAAAGGGTAAAAACTCCTTTTTTCTGAGTTTTCATCTTCTATTTGTATCCTGATATTGGCAGGCTAACTCTTTGGTTTACAAATCGGATAAAACGGTTGTTGACCCGAGTCATCTTCTCTTTATGTTAGTGCTCTGGAGCAATTGCCTCTAAGTATTTCAAGAACTCTTAAGAGCAGACATGGTGATTCACACCTGTGATCTCTACTTGGAAGATCAGTGAGTTTGAGACCAACCTAGGCTGTGGGGGACCCTGATTTTAAAAAACACAATTAGTAAAACATAGGATGAGAGAAGCCAAATGTGCAGCCAGACACTTCCTTTTCTGACTTTGCTATTTAGTCTTACATTTATTCTCTCATCAAACATTTCTTCATTTCCTCGGATTGTGCCGCAGTCGGACTCTGGGCTCACCCAGCGGCAGGCCGATGGATGCGCGTGGGGGAAAGGAAAAGACGAAGTGGACAACCACCATTATTATCAGCTCATCTCTTAAGGTAAGGGGGCACTGACCATGGTCTTCAATGACAACGCTTGCAGCGCCTCGTTTAAGACAGTATCCAGTTACAGGAACAGGAAGTAATATGCTAAATGTAAGTTATGTATGTTCTGCCATCACATTCACAACCCTACTTCCTAAACGTTTGAAAGTTGGGAATGTTCTGGTGTCTTTTAGGTGGGGTCTCATTAGCTCAGGCCTCAAACTTGCTATGGAGCTGAAGACACGGAGTTTTAATCCTCCTACCTGGGCCGTCCTTCGACTGTGTACTGCGCAGTGATTACGGGTGTGTGCTGCTGTCCCGGCCCAGGGCTCTTTTATATTTCCTTAGTGCCTCTTTTTTTAAATGTCTGATTATTTATTTGTTTATTTTTACTTCTGTGCTTACTTCATTTATTTTTCTGAGACAGAGTCTCATGTAGTGATCCTAACATCCAGCTTCTATAACTGAGACGACCTTCAGCACCTGATGTCCTGGTCCTCCTGGCTACATCCCAGGTGCTGGGGATACAGGCGTGTGCTGCGTGTCATGCAGTGTATTCTGATACTCATTAGATCAGAGCCCCATGTCTGATCATCTCATCGCATCCAAAGATGTTCAATGTTTCAAATGTGCTTTTTGGTGTTATTTGCCAAAAAGATCCTAAGTAAGAGATCTTTGTGTTTTTTTGCTAAAAGAGTTGGTTACTGTAGACTTTTCTTATTATTTTCTTAAATTTTCACCTGCAAACATTTTTTTTGACTCATTATATACTAAAGATTGGGCCATGGTTTTCTCTTTTGTATTTTTGCAGAACTGAGTGGTTGTCTTTTGTAGTCCACCCTAGCCCTGTAGTTCTTATATGCATGTGTAGCTTAGAAATCAAGGCTATTGCCAGCCAGTAAATAATTACAAAGATGAAAAAAAGTAAAAAAAAAAAAGAATATTGCTAGTTGTTGTACTTTTAGAAAGGTTATATTTTTTATTTGTGATGTATAAACAAAATGAAACAAGTTTGTTGTTGTTGTTGTTGTTGTTTGTGGGGGAAGTGTTTTGAGACAGGGTTTCTCTGTGTAGCTCCAGCTGTCCTGGAACTCACTCTGTAGACCAAGCTGACCTCGAACTCACAGAGATCCTCCTGCCTCTGCCTCCTGAATACTGGGATTAAAGTCTACACCATCACTGCCTGGCTGATATACTCCTTTTTTAATTTTAAAGATGTGATGAGCATCTCAGGCAGTTTGGCTCTTACTTACCTACTGCATTCTTCCATATTTTTTCAGTTCTTTGCTAAAAATTTCAACATATTTCATCTCCTTGAAGATAGAAAGCATTCCTATTTTAAGGATCTGTTAGCCCAACTGTACAGATCCCCTGTGGACCCATTTTTATTAGCTATTGCTTATGGTAGTTCTCTTTCATGTAAATTTACTTCTATATATCTGGCTGGTGTGTGTGTCTGTGTATTATAATTTATATTTTAAAAATTATACAAGTAATTTGAAGTCTTTAATATATTTAGAAGAGTATGCTCTTCTACAAAGGCCTTAATTCTATAATAGAATTAAATTGATGCTGTTTGTCAGGCAAAACAGAAAACTTCATTTTAGATGAATAATGCATTAATAGAAGTCCTAAATATTACATAAGACTTTTAAAAATTGCCTTACCAAACTGGTCAGTGGCAGAGCACCTGTGCAAAGCTCCTGATTTTATTTCCAGCACTGAAAACAAATTTTACACTTATAATTCAAATTTAACTGAGTGCTGTTTATTTGCTAAATTTGGCAAACCAAGCCATACATTATTAGTTAACCTTCTGTGTATCTAGAATGGTACTAATTACGGGAGAACGGGGAAAGCAGGCACTCTGTTTTCTTCTGTGCCCTGATTGAGAAATGCTTCTCCAAGGCGCTGGAGTACTAGCAGTTGAGCGTCACTTTAATCCAGCTCCAGGACTGCAGAGGTTTGGAGCTGGCTGTGTCCCTGTGAGATCTGCTCTACTTTTGTCAACAGCTCTACCCAGCTTTCCCTCTGCCCATCTCCAATTGGCAGGTGCCCTTGGGGAAGAAATGGCCTAGATGCTGGGGTCATATCTTTGAATTTCTGTATAGATCTTGGCCTTATAATTTCTCGCTCTCCTGCTAGCTCTTTGATGCATTTGTACAGATTTGTTTTCAAACTGTCATTTTCAAGTTTCTTCAGGAGAGTTGACCTAAATTACTGAATCTGCTGTTGCTGGAAGCAGTGCACAATTTAAAAACCACACAAGAAAGGGCCATGGTTTAACTCCAGGACAAAGCCTCAGTAACATAAAATACTCTAGTTAGGAAAGAAAGTAGCATATATTTTAGACTATGCACTTAAATTATATTTTTCCAAAGGAAAATGTAAAGTCAGTTTAGGTAAGGTGTGTGTGTGTGCATGCACATGTGTGTCATGTATTTATACATGTATGTGGATGCAAATGCCTGTACACACCTTGCAGAGGCCAGAGGAGGATGTTATGTGTGCACCATCACTCAGCTGGCACATGCCTTTAATTCCAGCACTTGAGGTGAGGGGTAGAGGCAGGCAGCTTTCTGTGGTCAGCATGGTCTACAGAGAGTTCCAGGACAGCCACAGCTACACAAAGAAACACTGTCTTGAAAAACAGAAGAAAGAAAGAAAAAAAAGAGTTTTCTCTGGTTCTCTTAGTTTTTGGCTCTGTAAGACCGCTCCCTGACTTCATCTCTGTCAGGAATGGTCTCACTTCTCTGTGTCTGATGATGAATCTTTAAGAGAAACAGTGACAGACAAACCATTAAACACTTTTAATTTTGTACCAGCTGTAATAAAAATCATTTAAGGCATGTCTTATATGTTTGTGTTTCTGAAAATTCTTTCAAGAGTTATGAAATTGCAACTGCCCTAGAAAATCGAAGCCACAAGGTTCGGTACTCGGATACACTGGAAAGAGGATCGATTGTATTCTCTCTGTCTGGTATGGTATATGTGCTAATTGCCTTTACTTCCTTTTAAATATGTGGATGTACATGTTAATTTTTGAAATTCAGTAGCAATATAATAGCTTAATATGTTATCTTTTAGAGGAGTATACGGGCTGCATTTTGCCTTTGCTGCCAACTGTAGGACGTCCCTTTGGTTACGTGGGGTCTGGTAGAGGATGGGAAAGTACTTGTTTGGAACTGAGGCAAAAATAGAAAAGTCCCCTTGTCTCAAAATACATATATGTAAATTGTTAACAGAGGCCAGCAGTAGACCTTGGCCAAATTTACATACCCAAACCAATATATGATGTTTTCCCATTAGTTTTATTTGCTGGGGAAAAAAAATCATTGGAAAACTTTGTGGGAACAAATAAACGTTCTGAAATTCTAAAATTGTGGGTGAGTCATGGGCAAAGTACAGGACTAAATTAGGCTAAGAAGGTGCTGGGAATATTGAGGTGTAGCTCCATCTGTGCTTGGGAAGTAAGAGATGTCACAAGGGGGTGGAGGAAGGGAGCTGTCTCCGTCTGTGTCTGGCCGCAGTGCAGGCTGTCCAAGGCCAGGCTGGACCACACAGTGAGACCATCTCAAAATAAGAAAGAAAGAGAAGATTCTATTAGGAGGTTTACCACTCTAGCAGAGACTTTGGATGGCAAGTGCTTTCTGAGTCATCCAGAAAGACCTTCATGCTGAAAATTACCTGGGTCCAAAATCTTCCTCTTGGCTGAATAGAAAACACTCCCGAGAGAAAGAAGTCAAGTATTCTTGGTGACTTGATGTTTTAGTTATCACTTGTATGTTTAACCCTCTGACATGTCCCACAAAGAACTACTCTCTCCATGTCCTGGAGGACAGTGAGGATCAGAGAGGTCGTGTAAAGTGCACACATGCATTCAGTCACTGTGATCACACACCGCTGTCTAGTGTCTTATCTGCACATTCACGCCACAGCTAACCCAGGTCTCCCCCAGACCACTGGAATCAACTGGCCCCATCCCGGACACCAGGTATCTGTGTTCATTTACATGATTCCTGAGCTTCTAGGAAGGTTTCCAACAAAAGTTTTGAAGATTTGCTTTAAACTACCTATCTCATTGATTTTTAGCTTTTGAAAGTCAACACAGGATCTTCTGAGTTGCAGAAGGGTTAACACATGAGTGCTTACACGGTAGTGGGTGTAGGGAGGGCAGGGCTCCTTCCTGGATGCCTGTCCCTGGCTGTTTGTGTCCTTTGGAATAGCCTTTCTAATAAGACAGTAAATGTTTTCAAAAGTACTTTAGTATGAAATATATTTTGAGACAAGTTCTAACCAGGCAGTGGTAGTGCACACCTTTACTCCCAGCACTCAGAAGGCAGAGGCAAGTGAATCTCTGTGAGTTCAAGGCCAGCCTGGTCTACAGATTGAGTTCCAGGACAGGCTCTAAAGCTACACAGAGAAACCGTATCTCAAAAAACCGAGAGAGAGAGAGAGAGAGAGAGAGAGAGAGAGAGGGAGAGAGAGAGAGAGAGAAACAGAAAAGTTCTTATTATATAATCCTGGCTGGTTCTATAGCACAGGATGGTTTTGAACTCACAACAATTCTCCTGTTCCAATGTTCCCTATGCTGAGATTGTAGGCATGCACTATCACACCTGGATTAGAAGGTTAGCTTTTAAAAGAGACCACTTTTTAATTAAAACTAGGCATCACTTTTATGTGCCCAGTGCCTTAGGTAGAAAAAAAATTACTGGGCAGTGTTTTCCCTTTAAATACTTAGAACGGTCACTCTGCTATAAAGAGCATGGCAAAGAAAGGCTTAAACCACCTTGTTATATAAGAATTATAACAACAAATTTATATGAATATGTAAATGAGTTTGGGGTCCCTGAGCTTATTGAGCTTATGAAATTCACTTTATATGACCACCTTTTATTATATTCATCTTTTCTAGGAGTTGCATTTTTATTGATGGATGCTAAGGAATGTATATCAACTGAGGAAATATTTCTAACCAAAATTGAGAAGTTTATTAACATTCACCAAAATAGTTTTTTGGTTCTGTTTGCCCCACTGCATGGGCCTGAAGAATGGAATCTCATGTTCAGGATTCATCAGAGGTATGGACGCAGAGCACAGCCCAGGGTTTTTGTTTGTTTTGTTTACACTGCTTTGTTTACTTCAGTTCCTAACGCTTGTAGGCAGTTGAGTTTTGTTCTGCTAGAAGACAAACTTTATAACCTGCCATTTATAACCAAACAGGCAGACAAGCTGTTCCTTAGGTTTGGGTGACTAGAGTTGATAGGCCTATTCTACAAAAGCAAGCCAAAGTGAGCTCTGAATTCTGGTCACACAGCCACCTCAGACCTGTAAGGACAATGCAGGGCTTGGCAGTCCCTCCGTGTCCTGCTGTCAACAGCAAATGTGACCCCCCACTTCTTTTCAGGTTCTTGGGCAGTAACTTACGGGTTCTTCCTGTGCACAACACAGTGAATGCCGCTGACCTCATGTGCACTGTAGCTAAGGTAAGTCACCTGGGGGAAGATACTCATACACAACACAGTGAATGCCGCTGACCTCATGTGCACTGTAGCTAAGGTAAGTCACCTGGGGAAGATACTCATACACAAACATACACGTTGGACAGAGATTTTAAGGTTTTGTTTTTAAATAAATTTTTGAGATAATTACTCCATTTCTTCCTCCCCTTGCTCCCTTAAAGCCCTCCCATGCACCCCAATTCTCTTTCAAGTTTATGGCCTTTTTCTTTAGTTGTTACATGTATGTGTTCCTAAATATATAATATAGCCTGTGCAGTCCCTTTAATGTTACCTGTATGTGTAGGATTTCAGGCTGACCACTTAGTCCTCTATAACCAGTGTGGGACTCCCCTGGAGGCTGTGCACCCCGAGCTGCCTGTAGTGCTCGCCCTGACTTGGCGTCTCATGCTCTCCCCCTTCCGTGCTAGCTCATCTACTGGCAAGATTCATAGGTGTAGCTTCTGACAATTCTAGGAGACATAGTTTCACAGCAAACTCCCACTGTCTCTTTAAAACTCTTTGGGACCCTTTCTGCAATGACTGAGCCTAGGTGCAGAAGCCACCCTGTCACTTAGTACTCGGCCCTCAGCCCTGCGTCCTCATCACAGTGTTTTCTGTGAGCTCTTGCAAAGAGAACTTTCCTGGATGAGGGGCGAGGACCAAACTTACCTGTCTACAGGACAAATGTTTAAAGTGCACTTAGGGATTGTGCTGGTTTAGAGAAGTGGTGGCTGTGGGTTCTCCAAGTTCACGACTTCACTAGTCCCAGGGAGTTGGCCAGGTTCCTAGTAGCGAATGACCTCCCTCCTGTTGACCAGGTCTTAAGTCCAGGTAGTTACTGGCTCCTGCTAAGATATGAGTGCTACTACCGCACCTTGTGTTGTCAAGTTCATGCTGGTCACTGTGGCTCACAGGCGGCATAGCTGGGGAGGACTGTTGGTTGCTTCCGTCATTTGGAAGCTTGCATGGCATCTTCTGGTATCATGAAAGCTAGTTCCTAGAAAGCTGTCAGGTCCACTCTAGCTCTGGGCCTCAATGCCCTGTGTCTGAAGTGTGTAGAGCTTTCAGCAATAGGGACTTACCTTCCACATGTGGGGCAGCCAAGGGCAACAGCCATAGCCTGTAATGTTTGGGAGTCTCTTGGACAACCCTGCCCAGCAACTCAAAAGAGGACTTCTCATGCCGAGTAATGGGGTTTTTGTTTAGATTGTTTATGGCTCTTGCAAGCATTGGCAGCCCAAGTGAGAGGATCTACGGCATGCCACCATTCCAGTAGAATGAATTTTTAAATATATGATCCTTCAGAAAGGCTGTTTCTGTAACTGCTGTTACGTGTTTACCTCTCCTTCCAGACTACCTCCAAGCCAGCCTTAGACAGCATCTGCTATAGAATGGTAACAACCAAAGCTTACATCATAGAGCAAAGCCCTGTTTGGAGAACACTCCAAAAGATAAAACTGAGTACTGATTCAATTAGTCCAAATTCAGAGTTTTGATTATAAGTGTTCTTTTAGAAAAATATCGAAATAATTAAATGTATTAAATTATAATGTCCAAATGTCTATTTAAGACCATTTATATTTAAAATCATATGTATACAATTAAACATGATTTTATTTTGGGTGTTTGGTTGAGTGATTCCTTTAATGTTTTGGAGTGTAGTTGTGTGGGACAGTGCAACTTGGGCAGATATAGGCCCTTGCTATAAACACTGGAAAAACAAAGAGAAAATAATTGGTACAGTATGTGGGTGAATAAAGCATTTTGACTACATTTTTTTGATGTTATAAAACAAATTAGTTTGTATTGAATCTTCTAAAGAAGTACTTTTTAAAAAAAATTATTTTATGTGTATGGATGTTTTGCCTGCATATGTGTGTGTGTGTGTGTGTGTGTCTGTGTGTCATATGGGTGCCTGGTGCCCATGGAGGTCACATCCTCTGGGAGCCATTTCTCCAGGCTCTGTAAGGTGAAGGCTATGTACTGCTCATCTTTATTTCAGAAACTGACAAGCCCCCAACTGTGTTTTTCTAGAAGTAAGTTTCTGTGTTCCTGCAAATAATTTTTTGACATTGTAAAACATACTGGAAACATCATCTTATTGATTTTTATTTACGAAGCAGAATTTTTATTTTATTCCAACATTTTCTTCAGAGGTAGACTTTGTTCTGATTTCAATGAGTTCTTCTACTCGGGCTAGAACACTTTCAATCAAGTCAAACGTGAAAAGAGCTGAATGCAGGACCTGAATGCCAAGAAAAGAGCAGTACTGTGGTCATTACTAGTCTCTTTGGGAGAGGGTCTTGTGAAGGAGCCCAGACTGGCCTCCAACTTGCAATCTTCCTGTGTCAACAGGTTCCAGGCCCACGTCCCCAAACCCAGCAGAAATTTGTGTTGTTAATGTTGTTTCTAAAACAAAGCATAGAACAGACCTCAGACTGGATGTAGCTTAAAATTTTGGGAGTTACCTTAAGCTGCATTTCAGGAGGCATAGCAGGGATTTCTTCTCCACCTACAGTCACAGAACAAACGCTTTTACACGTCGAGGCTGCTGTGAGGGAAGAAAGAACATTTCACATGTAGCCACCACAACAGCCCTCAAAGTCTCAACATGCAAACCCAGGGTCCTAAACATACTGGGCAAATGCTTTACTGCCAAGCTGATCCCCAGCTCCAACTTCCAGATTTTATTACATGTATCTATGAATTTTGTGTGTGTATATATGTGTGGCATAGTACCTGTGTGGGGGGGGGGACAACTAGGAGGACAACACAGGACAACTAGGAGGAGTTGGTTCTCTTCTACCACTTGGATCCCAAAGATTTAACTGAGGCTTAGGGCTTGACAAATGGCAAACACCTACTGGGTCATCTTGGCACCTTTCAGATTTTAATAACACATTTACAAGCTAATCATTGAGAATTTTAAATTGTGTCAATGAGGTAACACCTTACAGAATATTTGTTATCAACAAATAAAATTAAACACTAGAATTGTGCAATGTGAACTGATTCTTTAGAAAACAGCTTTATTGGCTAAGAGTCATTTTAACTACACAAAGCTTCCATGGCCTCTCCCTTTTACATAAAATGAGCATTACTGAAATGTGATAGTTTGGGGCTGAGAGCACTTAGCAGGTTCTGACAGAACCAGGGTGTTTCCCAGCACCCACATGGAGGTTCAGAAGCACCTGCTCTATTTCCAAGTGATCCAACACCCTCTTCTGACTTCCATGGGCTCATACACACTTATGGTACACATAAATGCACACACACATAAAATAATTTTTAAAATATGACCATTTCAGAATTTGAATTTTAGACTTAATGGAAAATAAAACTACATGCTACTTACCTTGGCTGTTTTGTTGGCTGTTTTTAATTTCTGCTTCATAATGTGCTTTTGACATATTAAGTCCTATATGAAGTGGCTTTAAAAAATTATTTTCAATCTTTCCAAGTTCTGTCCATAATCCAGTCTGTTGAGAAGATTTAATGAACAAATTAGTTACTTGGTTCAGCACAGAGGACGCCTTCTGTTGATGCGCATGCGCAGCTGGGAGACTCCCAGGCTGCTCTTTAAGCCACTATCACATCAGTGATGGTGTCGGTCAGAAGTGCCCACGACAGTTGACATGTGCAGCACACTGCTCACCACTGCGCCGCTTACATAGCTACTGGTTCTGAGCTCTGTACCAGAGTGGACTGCTGACGTCCATCTCCACATCTTTCTTTAAGTAGGCCTCCTCACTGGACTTAGCAGTGTGCTTGGCCACGGGTCACATTCTAGGGATTTGTTCTCCTTCCTACTGATGGAGACTTTTAAAACCGAAATAATTTGACCAAGGTAGATGGTTACTTTAGCATTATTTTGTCATATAAGAAGTTTATATGTCAAGATCATTTACAACTGTGGTACAAAAAAGGGACAGTAATGAAGTTTTAACTGAACTTTCTTTTTTTAAAGAACAGAGATAAATACAAGATATTGTGGTCTAAGACTCCGGGTACTCTTTACACCAGAAAATAGAGTTTACAAAGGGAATTCAGTTATCCATAACCATAACAATGAGGTGGTACACTTTATAATGAGCTTATGGGGAGCCTGTGTAACAACTAATAATGATGACTCCACACGTCTTTCCCTGAATCTCTGGAGCATTCATGCATTGCTGGCAGGAATGTTAATCTGTCCAGTCACTACAGAAATTGGTGTCAAGGTTCCTCAAAAAACTACAAATAGAACATGAATCAAAGCCAGCACATGTAGCGATTCTCACACACCCAGGTTACATCCATGCTAGGTGCCCATCAACAGAGGACAGAAAGGAGAAAGTCGTGTGTATAGAATGGAGTATATCGTGTGTACACAATGGAGTATCAGTTACCATGGTCAAAGTGTGAAGTTAATCTGATGTGAAATAAGATACTCAGATCTCATATGCAGAATCCAGCTTTTTTAAAGAAAAAGACATGAAAACAGAAGAGGGACTACTTGAGAGAAGAACTAGGGGGAGAGCGGGAGGAGGCAAGAGTGTGAAAGGGGGTTCACGATGACAGACGTATTTTATGTGCACCTGTGAAAGTGTCATAATGAAATGCATTATTTGACCAAATAATATATGCTAGTAAAAAGACTTTCAAAAAACCCATCTTTTAAAACACTTCTCTTATGCTGCTGGGAAATGCAGAGGTCTAAAGAGAAACTAGACAGGAACTCAAGCTTACACCTATCAGTGCATTCAACATCTATGGACTTATCCTGGGAAAACAAACAGAGATGCACTTTATGATGATTGCACTGCAGAGGTGCCTTTAAAAACAATGTCCAATGAAGAAGAGTGCAAGAATATGTTTCCTAGTAGGAAAACAGTAAGTTGTGGTATATCCACATAATGGAAAACTACATAGACATTTTTTTCTAGAATAAATATTGAATGGAAGAAACCACTTTATATAGCATGACTTCATTCTTACTTAAGAAAGAAAAATGTGGCACCCTCACCTCCCAAGGGCTGTAATTACAGGCATGAGCCATGGCATCGAGCTAAGGGCAATAATTTATTTTAATTTGTAATCCATAACATTAAAACATTAACTAATAAAAACACCCTTCAAAATTAGGCTAAAGAAAATTTCTTTCAATGCTGTTGAGCATAATTCCAGTCTTTCCTATAATGAACTGTACTGCTTTTGGAAGCATGTGGGCGTAAAGACGCTATGGAGGTAAAAATATACTCTTTGTCTTACATGAAAGTTACCAGATCTTTTTTAAAACACAAAAGAAAAAGGCTTAAGATTTCTTTCATCTTTGATGCTAAAAAAGTAACAAGATTTTTACAGTGTTTTACAAGGATTGAACTTTTGAAGTCCTCACGATTGTCTGCCTTTCATTTCATATCCAAGTCACTGACTTAACAGTTCTGAAACCTTTTGAGTTCTGTCTTAACTATGCATTAAAACTTCATGCAGCCGGGCGGTGATAGCACACACCTTTAACCCCAGCACTTGGGAGGCAGAGGCAGGCGGATCTCTGTGAGTTCGAGGCCAGCCTGGTCTACAAGAGGTAGTTCCAGAACAGCCTCCAAAGCAACAGAGAAACCTTGTCTAGGAAAAAAACAAAACAATTCACTGCAGCCTACCCAACCCCACTAGACATTTTTACACCACAGTGAAGTAGGTTCTGGAACAGGTGGGAATCTTGCAAAGACAGAGTCAACCATAATAAAAGAAGAAATGGAGAAGGGCATGGCCATGTGCCCCCCCTTGGCCCCTTTCTCCTAACATATACCTTACTTATGAAATGGTGTCACAGAACTTTGCCCCTCCACCATCAGCCACGGCCCCGCAGAGCAGGCACCGGGGATGTCCCCCCCCCCCCCGCCAGAGTACACACCAGGGTTGTTCCCTCCCTCACCCCAATGCAGAGCACGCACCGGGGATGTCCATCTCATCTCGCCTTTTCACTGTGTGCTAAGGACTGAACCCAGGACCTCACAACAGGCAGTTATTCTGCCACTGAGCTACAACGTCACTCCTGGCACATTTTAATTTTGAATAAACAGACATTAGAAAGGATCTGAGTGAAGAGGACAAGCTAAGCAACAGCACAACTATGGCTCTATTTTAGAATGAACTTGCAATTCAAAACAAGTAACCACTATCTGAAGAAACCCAACAGTAGAGAATGTGAGCTATAAAAGTTAGAGATGGGAGCTATTCATCTATAAGAGTAAAAATGACAGGAAACTAAGTGTGGGAGAAAGCGCTGAAAATGCACAGGGAGCCCAGAGTGGGAGGACATAGGAAAGTCAAGGTTGGCTCCAACTCAAGTTGGTCAGAAAAGAGAGATTATCACTCCTCATGAATCACTTTATATCGGAATGGATTTCTTCCTGTGTGCCTTTCTGAACTTTTAGTTTTTCATCTCTTAGCACAATTAAACGGAAAAATTGGAACCGGTAGGGGTTCCTCCAAGTATCCTTCCTCAGCCCTCCCTGTCAGTGAAATCACACCTGGACGGAAGTTGTCATTTACTTGCTAACCACAGTGGCTAAATTTGCTTTTCCTTGTAACTATTGTTAGGAATGTTTCCATTACAGACAGGCTATATGGCATCAATTTGGCAAGTTAGACTAGGACTTCTACTAATAATTCCCTGGTATGAAAATGCTTATGGTGGCATGCAAAAAAAAAAAAAAACCCAAACAACAAACAAACCAGTATTTGGTTCCTAGGGGGAAAAAAGAAACCATTAATAAGGCAGCCCTCTCAGTTGGTCATATTCTTTCCTGCATTATAAAATGTCCACACTAAGGTGTAGCAAGGCATTATCTATGGGTGTCAGGATAGACAGCAGAGACTTTGGACCCTGCATTAGGCTGTACTCTGGAGAGTACATCTGCCATTCCTAGTCAGTGAGATTCCCTGTGTCAAGCAAATCCCATCATCTCTCGTGTATGTTCAGCCTTCCTGACTACTGCAAGGCTACACTCACAGCTTCCCTAAGGACACCTGCTGAGGCCCAAGACCCAGGGCTGCTCAATTTATTTTGTACTTTTTTGTTTGTTTGTTTGTTTGTTTTTGCCATAGCCCCTTTAGGAGTCAGAGGTTAGTTTAATTTCAAAAGTTCTACAAGGAGTCATAGCCACCTTTTATTACTTCCTAGACATCCACATCTGAGTCAATGATTGATCTTTCCTGTGAGAGAAGGATTAATGAGAAGGCAAACAAAGAGTACTTTTCCTCCAGCATTGTGAAGAATGGCACACAGCACCTGCCAGGACAGCGGTCACCTCCGTCAGTGAATGGGTGGCCAGTGAGAAGGACATATGGGAATGTCTGTGGTGATGGTGAATTGGATATACAGTTGGATAAAACAGATTACACATCTATTAAAACTCAATAACTATACATTTAAAATCTGTGCACTTCATTTATGTAAATTTTACTTTCAAGAAAAATGCTGACATATATTTAACTCTGCCTTATGAAATATATGCTGAAATATTTGGGACAAAATATATTGATAGCTACAATTAATGTTGAAATGCACCAAAAATTACAACAATGAGAGCCGGGCAGTGGTGGCGCACACCTTTAATCCCAACTAGGGAGGCAGATGGGTGGGCATCTGAGAGCTCAAGGCCACCTGGTCTACAAAGCTGGTTCCAGAGCAGTCAAGGCTACACTGAGATACCCTGTCTTGAAAAAACCAACCCACCCACCTCCAGAAAACAATGAAAAAACTGATAGGGCAGGGAGAGATAGAAAGGAAGTGGAGCAGGAGGGTGACCTGCAGGTAAATGGCTGCTGTAAGGTTCTTCCCTCTTTGCTGGACATTTCAACGTTTTTCACAATAAAAAATCATCTAGTGCAGATGAAGCCAGAGTGAATAACACAGGCCAAGCGTCCGAGTCCGCTAGGTCCCCTGAAGGTCCTGCTGCTCCTCGGACTTCACATCCCAAGGTGTGACTTACCCGAGTAATAAAAAACGCTGGCAAAACAGCTGGCACTTTTATGTGAAACTTAATTACTTTCATTCTGCCTATCACTTTAAAAAAGCCCAGATTGGCATGACTCATGTGGTTACAGGTAACAGGGAGCAGTTATTAGAACGGAGTAGGCAGAAAGGAGCCTAAAAGGAAATGTGATTTTACTGCATGACAAATCTCCCTCAAGTAGATTTCTATTTATTGAATACTTCTAATGAAGTGCTATTTAAAAAAAAATCCAACTGCCTACACACCATTCAAAAGCACTGTTAACAAACTCAGTTTTGGGACTAAATATGTTTCAGTTTGTCATGTCTGATGAGGTGATACAAGATAATTTTATTTCATATAACTCTGATTAAAATCCTGAACTATATACAAGCAGAAGAGACTGAGCAATGGGTTCATGAGTTTGCTGCCCCCCCCCCCCCCGTAAGTTCACAGGGAGTGGCACACTGGGAGGTGTGGCTTTGTTGGAGGAAGTGTGTCACTGTGGAGGCGGGCTTTGAGGTCTCACATATGCTCAACCATGCCCAGTGTCTCAGTTCACCTCCTGTTGTCTGCAGTTCAAAGATGTAGAACTCTCAGCTCCTTCTCCAGCACCATGGCTGCCTGCATCCTGCATGCCTCCATGTTTCCCTCCACGATGATAAAGGACTAAACCTCTGAACTGTAAGCCACCCCATTAAATGTTTTCCTTTCTAGGAGTTGCTGTGGTCACGGTGTCCTTCACAGCAATAGAAACCCTAGCTAAGACAAGGGCCTAAAAGACTTCCTACAAAAGAGTGGAGACAGAGCAGGAAAAACAGGTCAGATGTGAAAAGCTAAGTGTGCCTGGGAGCCGACAGGAGGTGTCAGAATTGGTACCCAAGTTTTACAGCTGGGTAAAAGTAATAAAGGCTGACTTAGGACAGTGGTCAAGAAAAGCTGAAGAACTGCTCATGCATTCTTAATATACTCACAAGTTCGTTTCCAAATGATTCACTTACTTGATTTTCATTTTCATTATCTTTGATAACCAAATACCTCAATAAATTTAATGAAGCCATAATCCTGTTAATTAAAAAAATAACTTATTATCTTCAGTATACATTTATGTAATCAACAGCTGAAATATATAAAGCAAGTTAAAAGCTCGGAAATACTGCTGTCAGCACATCTGCCCTTAGACACTATCCCCACCCCTCTGTGGAGTGGCAGCAGCTTATCGCTGTCCTGCTGTCCCGCTGTGTGCTCACAAGACCAGGTGAGCATTATTTCCCCTTCGCCCCAGAGACAGCCTGGCTGTCCTCAAGATCATTTCTTGCTTCCCAGATTTCAAGATTTTCTTTGTTTGTAAATACAAGCAATTCTCCACATCCATTCAAATACACCAAAAGTGAAAGTTTATACTCTACATGGTAAAAAAAAAATAGACCTGAAAAACAAAGTCCAAATATTTAATCCCTTAATACACTGTTTTTGTGAGATTCTTAAGTTTTATTCAGAAATGCTGTGGTTTCAAATCTCTGTATAATGCTGAGATAGAAAATCAGTCACTGTCCTGGAAAGAAGAGGTTTTGTTTCTATGTGAGTCACTGAGTAACTTAACTAGGAATCCTGGTGCCGGTCACCTCACCTATCTGAGTTCTGCAGTAAGTCTGTCTCGGCACCCTCGGGGAGGGACAGCACCAAATCCAACAGTGCAATCAGCTGAGGACCTCTAAACCATTTGTTAGATGTTTTCTGAAAAGCAAGAGGAAGATTATGAAGAGTTCATGTAATAGTATGATAAATGTTGCATATTGTAACAATGAGAACTCAAAAAGTTACAGATTCTTTAACTTTCATTTCTGTGTGCCATTCACTTTCCAGACCTAGTGAAGGCCTTGCCAGCCTGAGAACACTGGGATCTTCTTCTGTGTGGGGTTATGCATGGTCACATACATATGAGACTCAAATTTGTATTTTTCTGAAGTATACAGCACAACTTATATTATCAGCCAAAAGAAATAATATAGTTTAAATTTATAGTTAACAAAATTCGGGGGGGGGGGCAGAGGTGGAGTTTTCTTTTTAAACAGGGAATTATACTTTAATATTATAGACAGAAAAATCCTGTGGGTGAACCAACACTGGCATGTGCCACACGTGAATAAATCAGTAACTGACCCCCCCCCCACCTGGGTTTGTATTCTTACCTTAAATGATGCATCGATCTGATTTTTGATATTTTGAATTACGAAGCCTTCCACACCTGAGTGATTACTTGTATTTAATAAGCACCTTTAAAGCAAAATTATAGCACATAAAATTATATTAAATTACAATATAATAGTGATAAAAAAGTTTGCAATTCAATTGGGCCTCACGTAACTTCTAAGATTATAAACTTCACAGTGAGAACAATTATCAGCGTGGCCAGTGACCTGCAAAGCTCTCCTAACAGCTTGTGCTTTCACTACCTGGTAAATCTCACGTACAACTGATATGTGCATAGGTCAGAGAATGGGTGTATTGTTCTGTCAGTTGGGGTGTGTGTAGGCCAGAAAAGGGTGAATGTCCTGGTCTTTTTTTTTTTTTTTTGTCCTGTTCTTTTATGTGTGTGTGTGTGTGTGTGTAGGCCAGAGAAGGGTGAATGTCCTGGTCTTGTGTGTGTGTGTGTGTGTGTGTGTGTGTGTGTGTGTGTGTGTGTAGGCCAGAGAACAGTGCGTGTCTTCTTCTATTTGTCTCCTTATTCTTTTGAGACACGGTCTCTCACTGAACCTGAAGCTAGGCTGGCACAGCAAGTCCCAGCAATCCTCTTGTTTTCTGCGTCCTCTGACCTTCCACCCAGCACTGGAGTTAACGGTGCATACAGTCATGATCAGTTTGTTATTCTTATCCCCCGCCCCCCCCCCCCCCCGCCATGGTTTCTCTGTGTAGCCCTGGCTTTCCTGGAACTCGCTTTGAGAACCAGGCTGGTCAAGGCCTCCTGTCTCCACCTCCCCAGTGCAAGGACTAAAGGCAGCACCACCACTGGCTGGCTACCTGCCCAGTTTTTGTGTTGATTTGGGAGATTTGAACACAGGCCCCCAAGCTTGTGAAGAAGGTGGTTCTTACCACTGGGCCACCTCCTCAGCCCTCAAACAAGAAATATCTACTAAACCAAATTTGCATCTTTTCATGCATATAATTTAACATGCTGAGAATGAGCACCGGTATAACCTCAAAGCTTCCAGAGGTGTTCCCTGTGAAAGGCTGCCGCTGGCTTACTCGCCGAGGGAAACCTGACGGCACTGTTAATGGCTCAGGTCTCCAGTGTCCCCAAAGGTTCATGTGCACGAGTCCTGGTTCTCACTCGGTGGTGGTGGCATCTTTAGGAAGTGGGGCCTCATGGAAGGAAACTAGGTCCCTAGAGGCTTGCGCTTGAAGAAGGGACCGGGACTCTAACCCTTTCTACCCATCTGTGCCTGTGCTCCTGGCCACGGCGAGGTGAGTGGCCCTTCTGCAGCCCTAAAGCTACAGAGCCAACTGCACAGACTGAGGCCCCAAGCCCATAATGGGAAGCTACTACGAGAACGGGGTCTCTCAGAAGAGCATGGCATGAGATCTGAGGGCTGACTCTGCTGTCAGAGGAGACTAGCACCAGCCCTGCGATGCCAGATCTCTACACACCCTGCATCTCAATATTGCTTTAATCAGTTTGCACCTCATTCTTAGGACCCAGCCCAGGGTGAAATGGGCTAAGATTGTGGGTTGACTGTCAGTGTTGTTGGAATACACCCGCCTCCTGGTGGAAGAAGAGTGGAATCTCCACGTACACTGTACAATGGCCTTATAAAGCCTCTATTTATTATATAGTTTTCTAACATTTAACTTATTGCCTAAAACTCTACTAAAAACTCTACTGGTAAGAACTCAGAGTAACGGAGTGACTGGCCTGTCAAAGTTACAGACTCCGTGACACCCTCAGTTCAGTTATAAACAATGGAGATTATTGAACTCTAAGGTTCTATCTAGCAGGAGCATTATCAATCTCTGTTATTCTTTTAAGACTGCTTGGAGTTTTTTTTTTAATTGTTTTTATTGCTATACATTTTTCTCCATTCCCCTCCCCTCCCCTCCCCTTCTGCCCTCCCCCATGACCCCCACACTCCTAGTTTACTCAGGAGATCTTGTCTTTTTCTCCTTCCTATTCAGATCCATGTTTGTCTCTCTTAGGGTAAGTTTACAATATTTCAATTAAACTAAAAATTATACACTGCTACTCACATAATAGACATTATGTTTCCAAAATACTCAATAAGCTGATTCTTTAGCTCTTACAGATACTGAACTACACTGTACAAATATTGTACCTTTAATAATTACATGGCATTAGTAGGTTTCAATCAGTCACACACTAGGTTATTATCCATGGGCTATGTTTTAAAATGTCTCTTAAAAGCTCATGTGTTAAAGACTGGGTGCAGCTGACAGACTTCTGTGAAGTGACCGATTAGCT